AGTACCAGATCAGTAATTGATATTTTCCCATTGTACCAGTACCAGATCAGTAATTGATATTTTCCCCTTGTCTTTCAGCAGGCTAGTAAATTGTTTAATTTTCTCCATTCTCGCTGTCCATCATCTCAGATTTGCCGCGACGTGATCGCTGGATGAGTACACGTGAGGAGGAGAAGGAAAGGACGACAGAGGGGAAGGAAAGGACGACAGAGGGGAAGGAAAGGACGACGGAGGGGAAGGAAAGAACGACGGAGGGGAAGGAAAGAATGACAGAGGAGAAGGAAAGAACGACAGAGGAGAAGGAAAGAACGACGGAGGGGAAGGAAAGAACGACGGAGGGGAATGAAAGAACGACGGAGGGGAAGGAAAGAACGACGGAGGGGAAGGAAAGGACGACGGAGGGGAAGGAAAGGACGACGGAGGGGAAGGAAAGAACGACGGAGAAGAAATCTACCGAGATAACAGGCACAGTCTCTCACTCAGTATCGCCACTGACGACACCAGAATCGACCAGAGAAAAAACGGACGCAACAGAGAGATCTAGAGAGATATCTAGGCCTCCTTCTGTCTCTCCCTCAGTATCGCTACTAACAAGGCCAGAATCGACTATGAACACTACAGACAGATCTAGAGAGATATCTAGACCTACTTCAATCTCTCGATTAGCATTGTCACGGACGATACCAGAATCGAATGTGAACACAGCAGAAAGATCTCGAGAAACAATTACTTCAGTCTCTCCTTCGGTATCGCTACCAACAATGCCAGAATCGACTGTGAACAGAGAAGAAATATTTAGGCCACCTTCTATCTCTCCCTCAGTATCGCCACTAACAATGCTAGAGACGACCAGAGAAACGGACAATAGTAGAGAGAGATCTAAAAAGACGACTACTTCAATCTCTCACTTGGTATCGTTACCAACAATGCCAGACTCGACTGTGAACACAACAGAAAGATCTAGAGAAACAATTACTTCAATCTCTCCTTCGGTATCGCTACTAACAACTCCAAAGTGGACTATGAACACTATAGAGAGATCTAGAGAAATATTTAGGCCACCTTCTATCTCTCCCTCGGTATCGCCACTAACAATGCAAGAATTGACTGTGAACACTACAGAAAGATCTACAACGACGACTATTTCAATCTCTCCCTCGGTATCGCTACTAACAATGTCAGAATCGACTGTGAACACAACAGGGCGATCTAGAGAAAGAATTGCTTCAATACCTCCCTCAACATCCTCACTAACCAAGCAAGAATCGACTATGAACACAACAGGGCGATCTAGAGAAATATCTAGGCCACTTTCAGTTTCTCCCTCAGTATCGCTACTAACAATGCCAGAATCGACTATGAACACTACAGAAAGATCTAGAGAGATGTCTAGACCGACTTCAATCTCTCGATTAGCATTGTCACTGACGATACCAGAATCGACTATGAACACTACAGGGCGATCTAGAGACAGAATTGCTTCATTCTTTCCCTCAGTATCGCCACCAACAATGCCAGAGTGGATCAGAGAAACGGACAGTAGTAGAGAGAGGTCTACAGAGACGACTATTTCAGTCATTCAATCAGTATCGCCACTGACGATACCTAAAACAACAACGAGAAAGGAAGACAGCATCGAGCAATATGCCTTTGACGATTACGTAAGTTCAAAGGTTAGCGCATCTGACACAGAGAGAGACAACAGCACTTCAAGAACGCAGACAGAGACAGAGACAGAGACAGAGACAGAGACAGAGACAGAGACAGATCAGAAGATTACAAGAACACCCGCACAGACAGAGACACAGACAGAGACAGAGACAGAGACAGAGACAGATCAGAAGATTACAAGAACACCCGCACAGACAGAGACACAGACAGAGACAGAGACAGAGACAGAGACAGATCAGAAGATTACAAGA